TAGGGATGTGGCCTGCAGGTAGTTAGTAGCGAATGTCTCCAAGGGACGATGTTTTATGCGTTGTTTTATGAGTATACCGGTACCTCCTCATGCTTTACCGTCCAGGTGGTTGGACGCGTGGAATATATAGCCGGTGATATGAAAGTAGTTTTTATTAGCTAGATGGGTTTCAGAAAATAGCATGATATCGATATTGTGGCTGTTTAGGAACTGTAGGAGTTCGATTTTGTGACGGGAAACGCCGTTTGCGTTCCAGAAGCATATTCTTAAGGAGTCCATTTATACAGACTTTTGTTTGATCAGCAAGTTCATTAGAAGGCTCTGGTTTCGCAGTAGTTCTTAAAGGGAACTTTGAATCGTCATGTTTGCAAGAGTAGCTAGTGTAGATTAAGTGTTTGTGGGGGAAGAAATTGGTTTTGCTGCGTAGAAAGTTGAGTTGTTGTTTGGCCATTTTGGCTTAAGAGCGGAAATAGGTGGCTGTGGACGCAATGCTGCAGGCTGGGCGGTAGATGTTTGTGAGATTCCAGGGTAGCGGAGAGCGTTGCCAAAGGAGACACCAGGAGTGGTTGTTGATGGAGTGAAGATGTTTGGTTGGGCAGAGTGTTGAGCGGCGAATGGATTACTGCGTCTCTGATTTAGGCGGCTCTTGAGTTCTTTGTAGACGGGACAGCCCCGGTAGTTGGCAGTATGATTTCCTCCACAGTTACTGCATTTCCTCAGAGTCGGGTTTTCTTTGTTTCCCAGGCATGCTTCAATGCAATGCAAATCTCCACAGGCGACACAGACTGGTCGCAGGGTGCAGTAAGTTCTTATATGCCCGAACTCCTGGCAGTTTGTACACTGTACGGGGCCGTTCCGCTTATGGGGTTCCTCATTCTTCGGTGAAGGAGATATTGAAGATTGTAAATAGGATGTACTGCATTTTTCTTTAGAGGTTTCGTCTCTGGGGCCAGCTCAATCTTAAACAGTGGTTGAGGAATTTTATCCCTGTTTACTATGTTCACGAAGCCTTTTTCCGTGAGGCCTTCAGCTATTTCTGCTACCGCAACAGTCGATTCTATACCTTTAAGAACAACTTTTAGGCCTTTCTTACTTTGTAGTTGGTAAGTGTAGTAATTTATAAGCTCATTGTCGAGATATCTTGTTATAGAACGGAAGTTGTCTTCATTGTTAACCTGGAGTTTTGCTTTCCTCTTTCCTCTTTTTAGGGTGTTGAAATAGAAGTGGTTAGGCCCGATTACTTGTTTAAGCCTATTGATCAGATCGACACTGTTGTGTTTCCTAATATATATTGGCGGTGGCCTTACAGCTTTCATGACTTGAGGCGCCTGACCCTTGTCTTCTTCGGTCTCGCCAAGTATGGCAAATCTGTTTTCGGATGTTCGTGTTTTGTGAACTAAGCTTTCTTTTTATTTGTACATACCGATCGATCCCTGTCTGTACGAGCGTATTATTCGTAAGAGGGTCAGTAGAGCTAAGTTTTACTTGTGGTGTTGAGATAGGCCACTGGGTAGCCGCAGACGTAAAAGTTGTTGTTGTCGTTGACGTTGCTGTAGTAAGAGAGGGTACATTGCTGGTCAGCGCACAAGCCGAAGTAGTCGGTGCATCGATAAGAGAGAGAGGTGACGGGCATTGTGAACTCCACGACTGAGTAACGGCAACGCTGCTTGAGCATAAAATCGATGGTGACAGTGAACGGGCTCTTTCGGAAGCGGTCAGTGACGTTGATTTTGTTGTTGCCTTCGATGAGTTAATTGAAATGTAAGCATTGTTCCGTGCAGAAGACAGCCGTCGTTCGTCTACTTGTATTTGTTGCCGATCGCGACTTGGCTTCGTGGCTTTACCGGTTGCACTTGTTAATATTTTATTTGCGTTCGACATTTTAATTGTTTTTGATTAGCTAGTTCGGTTTTAAATTTAGTTTTAATCACAAGGAGATATTGACCTTGGGATATGGCATTGCTGCCAGCGTCTTTTCTATATTTTCTTATTTTTGGTGGTCACTTTGTAGATTTTTGGAAGTCTTTCGGCAGAGCTATCAAAAACACTTCTACGCGGGTCGACGGTTCCGTTTCCTAGCTTTCTTTTCTTGTTGGCCAATCAATCCGACCTACCAAATTTCATAAGGATCGGCCGACTATATCCTATAGCTGCCATATAACTGAACGATTGAAAATGCCATAATTTTGATGTTTTTTTAAGATAGGAAGTTGGGATTTTTTATGAGTATTAAGAGTGCATCATATGAATAATTTTGGAGAATATAATTTTCAGAATATTCTGAAAGGGTTTTTTTATTACTGATAATTATTTGGTAATTTGGAGATCATAGAGCTCTTAGGTCTTAGGTCAAAAAACACAACGGAAAACACAACACCAACCGAAAAATCGCCTGCAAGAATTTAGAGCTCTATGATCTATGATCTCCAAATTCTTGCAGGCTTGAGTTGTTGTTGAGTTTTTCCGTCCATTTTTTACCTAAGACACTGCTCTGCCAACAGACACCCCAACATTTTTTAATCTTTTCGCTAGGTCCTGAAAATCTTTCACCCCAAGTTCATATCAGCAGATTGGCAACGCTATGCAATTTTTTTGTATTTTTTTCGTTGCCTTAGTACCGGGGTGAAAAAATAGCCTGACGAAAAGCGTTCGCCAGCTGTTTACCTTTCTCTCTCTTTCATAGCTGATGAACAGATTTCGTCGTTCTGAGTACTAGACTTTGGCGAAAAAATGTAATTTTTTGAAGTGTTTTTCTCAGAGCAGAGTGTTTCTTATATCAAAAATTGACGGTAATGAAAAACAAAACAAAAAAAACACAGCAAAATCGCCATCAAAAGTTTAGTGCATCTATGAACTTTGAAAATAACAAATATTTATCAGAAAATTAAATAAAAGCAACTGTAAAATTGATAAAAATAAACTGTTAAATTTAAATTTGATTGCTTTTTAATTTTTTTGTACACCGGCAAGAATTTTGCCAAGAGTCTTTTAAATGTTCTTTATGGGGGTATAGTATGTAATTATCTTTTCGCATTTTTTTTTTTTTTTTGAATGCACAACATTCTAGAATTTTGTGTAAAAATTTTAGATTGATCCGAGTTAAGCTTCCGAAGTTATGGGCAGTGGATTCGATTTTATATTCGATTTTAAGGTGCCCAAAACATGTAAAAGCTCTCCTGAAATGTTAAAATTTTCAAAGTCGGTGTAGACGTTCGTACAAAATCTACTGGACGAAGCTTTTGGGAAAATGTATAATTTTAACAATAACAAATAACAAGGACTTTTTGCCGAAAATCGAGGTTTTTGATTTTCAAGATTTTAAAAATCGGGAAAAAAATTACAAAAATAAAAACTTTTCAGCCTTACCTGGACATGTCCTTTTAAATTTTTGAAATTGAATTTTTTTCAATTCAGATGATTCTGTGACCAGTTACGATGTACACCGCAAAAAACCTTTTTTTTTCAATTCAAATGATTCTGTGACCAATTACGATGTACATCGCAAACCAGTTTTTTTTTCGAGGTGCCGCAGGAGATTGCCTATATCTCTCTAACTTTTAATATTCTTGGATGCAAATTTTCATACATATAGATTCCTGCACATAAGTTTTTGAATTATTAACTGTTTGTCAACAAACCTTGCCTTTACACTGGTAATCATAGTACACAGATTGAAAAACGAGTTCGCCAGCGGAAAAACTTGAATCTTTCCAGTGGGACAGCATTTTTGAGAGTTCATCAGTATTGTGCGTGCTGCGGTCGAACTGTCAATCAGCTGGGCTTGTTAACGAGCACTTAAAATTCAAAAACCCTATTTGCGCGAAAAAGCCTTTAAAGGATGTTCTCAACTTCTTTGGCAAGACATGTCTGCCGCTATACAAAGAAATTTGAATTTGTATTACCGATAATTATTTGGTAATTTAGAGATCATAGCTGCCCTAAGTTCTTGCATGCGATTTTTCTTGGTTTTTTGTTGGGCTTTTTTGATCTTCAGAACACTTTGCTCTGACAACAGACACCCCAAAAAGTTAATTTCAGCAGATTGGCAATGCTATGCCATTTTCTGGTATTTATTTCGTAGATCTGAGTACCAGGGTGAAAAAAGAGCCTGACGTAAAACTTTCGCCAGCTGGTTGCCTCTCGCTCTCTCTCATAGCTGACGAACAGATTTCTTCGATCTAATACTAGGCTGAAAGATTAAACCTTTTTCCTTGGCAAACCTGTTTTTCTACATATATGAGTACTAGGCTTAAGTCTTTTCCGCGCATTTTAACTGTTCTTTAATATTTTTGTAAATACCTCAGGATAAGCCGCTTAATAAAGTTTCAGATTTGAGAGATTAATTCGGTTGATGTCGTGACTTAGAATAAAATTAAATTACATTATTTAGCACGAATTTAAATAAGGTACAAACTTAATCATGTAAAAGAACATATTATGACTTATTCCGCTCTTATGCAAAATAGTAAAAGTAACCAGAAAAGCTAATTGTTAAAACGCCCATTTCTGCAACAGTTTTGAGGTAAAAAAATGTTGGTTTACCTTGCTTAAAAACATTATAACTTAAGCAAACACTCGTGTTTGGGCATGCCAAAGTAAATTAAATTATCATACCTCAAATTCGTTGGCAAAGTTAATTAAATTAAAAGCAATGTTCAACAGTTCAAATATTTCAAATAGTGCTACATACTCGTTTAAACACAGGGTGAATTTGACAAACTTGTAATGCACAACGAGCGCAAGCGCGTTCCATGGGAAACGCCCCTTGGCGACGGATGGTCCCATTTTATTGGTTTGTTTTTACATCAATATACATATACATTCTCTTTCTTGTGGGGTTTTCTTTGGCTTCGGGCTCTTATTGGCCAAAATACTGCCAAGAGTATTTTGATTTCAGGATCTCATATCGGTTGGTTTCGGTTTCTCGTTTCCACGTCCTCTCTGTCGAAATCAACGAAAATTGTGTTTTATATTCAGTTTCCGTACTTATGTCGTGAAGCAATATTCTATTGCTTAGAGAAAAATGGACGCATGTATTAAAGTTATTAATGCAAATTAAGTATATTTTCCTAATTCTATAACAATTCCATGTAATTTTAATAATACGAAGGATTAGGGGTTTGTCAATAAAGGTAAACATTTAAGTGTTGTGATAAAAATTGAAGGAAATATTATATCCTAATTACCTTAATTTAAATCACGTTATTAGTGTGAGTGAATGGCATATTGAGCTAACAAACAAATCTAGCGATATAACATTCATATCAAATAAATAAGTGAAACACAAAAATAAAATAACTGCAACATATGCTTAAATTTTGCGTGAATGGAGTATGCAGAGCTTTTTTAACTATTATATAATTTTTTTAAAAAATATGTTCATTTCAATTTAGTGAGTATCTCGAACAAAGAGTGGTATAAAAACTGTAAAAGCTGTGAAAAAAGGACCCCAATTGAATGATTATGTTATCGGTAAGTGAGCCCAAAGCGACATAAGATAGGTAGCTGGTAATATCTACAATATGTTGTCGAATCTTAGAGATAAGTCTCGTCGCAGCACAGCTTTGAGCTCCCCAACATGCAATCTTGTATTGGGCAAGGTTGATATATCGTTGACCTCTCAGTTTGTAATAAATAACACAAATATTATTTAATTATGTACATATATATTTTTATTAAGTTTTGTTTTGTTGAAATTTAATTTAATTTCCCTACTCTTTGATATATTTATTTGACCATTTCCAGTTCCTCTATAAGACATACAAATTGTTCACTCCCTGCATTACCGTTCATCACGTTTTAATCGATGAATCTTCACCAAAAATTCATCACTGCTGATGATTAATCAATGAATTTTCATACAAATTAGTGATGAACTTAAGATTGACATTTCCTAGGAGTTAATCAGTGAAACATTAATCACTCTTTAATCAGTAATTCATCACTCTTTAATCAGTAATTCATCACTCTTTAATCAGTAATTCATCACTCTTTAATCAGCATTTACTGATGAAAATGGGATGAATTACTTATTAAAGAGTGATGAACTACTGATTAAAGAGTGATGAATTACTGATTAAAAAGTGATGAATTCACCGCATTTTCATCAGTAATTCATCACATTTACATCAGTATTTCATCGCATTTTCATCGCTTTTTAATTTTTTTTCATCAGTAATTCATAGCTTTTTCTCCCCATTTCCATCAGTATTTTCATCAGTAAATAAACACATAATTTTTTCAATATTTCCATTTATTTAATTAAATATTATTCTTACATTTAATGGTTATTATCAATTATTATAATTCTAATATCAAGTCGATATCTTTAAAAGTGAGAGACTAGTTAGCGTAGAAACAGACAGACGGACATGCTTATATCAAATCAGGATGTGATCCTGATCAATTTATAGGGTCGGAGGTCTCCTTCACTGCGTTGCACACTTTTGACCAAAATTATAATACACTCAGCCCTCTCTCTCGCGACCTCCGATCATTTTCAAATTTTCTTAAGCCGTAAATTTTTGGGTCATGATTAAATATAATTTGGTCGAAGTTTGACATAAGAAGGATTTATTTCAAAAAACAGCTCATTTTGTTGTGTTTATTATTATCTTCTAAAATATTAAAAATCTAGTTATCTCCTAAAATATTACAAATCTAGTCAATAATATATTTTCAGTTTTTTTTTTTGTGTAGACGTTATATTTACAAGAAAAATGCAGAAATATGTTGACTTCTAACAATAGTTTTCAAATGAGTTTTAAGTAAAAGACTCACTGCAAAAGCGACAAAGTTCCGCAACAGCTCTTTATTTTCTCTAAGAAGTGCATGTCCAAAAGTACTCAGATCGAAAAACGCTAATATTTTCAGCATTTTTGAGAGTTTATCAGAACTGCTCTTACGGGGTATTCTCAAGTACCACTCTGCCGGTGGACAACTAAATTTAAAAAAAAGAATTTAAATTTAAACGTGTTTTTTTTTTCATTTTTGTTTAATTTAATTTAATTAATCGATGAAAAATAAACCAGAACATTTTTTTTTATACACCGGCAAACTGGTTTTGCTAGGGCACTTGAAGATATCCTTTAATTCCTGCAAGTATTTTTATTTAAATTTCGACTGCTTGTCAACAAATCCAGCTGATTGACTGTACGACCGTAGCACACTCAATTGATGAACTCTCAAAAATGCTGTCACACTGTTTAAGACTAATCTTGCACCGTTGGTGAACATGTTTTTCGCTCAGATGAACTGCTTGTGAAGGAACCCAAGTAATTGACAATATTAGTATACTTAGTCCTGATGAACACTCAAAAATGCTGTCTCACGGTAAGGATTAAAGTTTTTCCGCTGACGAAATTATTTTTTGATCTGTTTACTAGGCTTAAAAAGGGAATCTTGGAGGGCACAGGATGAAAATAGTCAAATGCCTGTTGGGGAAACACCTACGCCCCTATGAGATGTGTGCAAATATATCATTGGGGAAATGCTGAAGAAAATTATGTATCAGGGAGTGGTGGTCACAACATCATTTATCAAAAGGAAGGTGGATTGCCTGGGTCCCGACTGATGTAATTAGTGAAAGTTTTATTAGGTTTTCGTTTCAATTCATTGTTTTTTATTTAAGTACGCCTGTCTAAATAAAACTATTCTTCTTCACCGATTCGCCAACAGCAGTTGATAATCTATTTGCTGCTGAAAATTCTATTCTTCTTTTTCGGTTTAGGTGGTTATCTGAAATGAAGTCTGGATGAACGTTCGTCAGGCCCTAGCGAAAAGTTTAAACAATTTTATCTTTTGGAGTATCTGTCGTCAGAGCAGTGTTTCTTAAGCCTAGTATCCAGATCGACGAAAACCGTACGCCAGTCATGAGAGAGAGCGAGAGGCAAACAGCTGGCGTTCACTTTTCGTCGGGCCTTTTTTTCACGTCGATCCCCTGATCGATGAAAAAATACCAGAAAATTCCATAGCGTTGCCAGTCTGCGGAAATGAACTTTGGGTGAACCCTAGCGAAAAGATTAAAAAATTTAATCTTTTGGCGTGCGCTTCTCACTGAACATTATAAGAAATGGAGGGAAAAACTCAAAAAATTCACAAAAGTCGATTGCGTGTTTACATGTGAGGACAAAATAACATTAATACTATCTGGGGTGCCTCTTGTCAGAGCCAAATGTTTTTTAGGTCCAGAATGTACGAAAAAACTCAATGAAAGTGCAGCTATGAACTTTAAATTAGCAAATAATTATCAGTAAATTAAAAAAAAACAACTGTTAAATTTAAATTGTATTGTTTTTTAATTTCTTTGTACAGCGGGACACTTGTCTTGCCAAGGTATTTGATAATATCTTTTAAAGGCTCTTTCCCGCAAATACGATATTTGAATTTTAACTGCTTGTCAACAAACCCAGCTGATTGACAGTACGACCGTAGCACGCTTAAATCTGATGAACTCTCGAAACTTTGGTCACACTGGAAAGATTAAAGTTTTTACGCTAGCGTAATCGTTTGTCGATCTGGATACTAGGCTTTAGGTCAAAAATTGACGGAAAAGTGCAGCTATGATCTCTGAACTACCAAAAAATTATCGCGTTTTTCGATTTGATTACTAGGCTTAAAAGAGGAGTTTAGGGCAGTCGATAGACTGCAAAATATTAGCCTTTTTATACCCGTTACTCGTAGAGTAAAAGGGTATATTGTATTCGTGCAAAAGTATGTAACAGCTAGAAGGAAGCGTTTCCGACCCTATAAAGTATATATATTCTTGATCAGGATCACTAGCCGAGTCGAACTAGCCATGTCCGTCTGTCCGTCTGTCTGTCCGTATGAACGCTGAGATCTCGGAAACTATAAAAGCTAGAAGATTGGCATTTTGCATGTAGATTTTAGAAGTTCCTACGCAGCGCAAGTTTGTTTTAAAATGGTGCCACGCCCCCTTTAACGCCCACAATCGCTTATATACGATTTTAAAAATTTAAATATTTCGGAAAAATAAAAATGCAGTTTTATTGTGTTTATCAATACCTATCGAAATGTAGAAGAAATTTTTCAAATCGGACCATTCGTTAAAAAGTTATGCGTGATCAAAGTTTCTATCTCCATCTCCCTCGCACTCCCTTTACCTGAGTAACGGGTATCTGATAGTCGGGGCACCCGACTATAGCGTTCTCTCTTGTTTTATATTAGCGAGCTTACAGATTGAGTGTGATCATTTGACTTTGCTTCTTCACAATCGTTTTATACATATGTGGGATTGGTTTTCCTATTTAAATAAGAAGTCCCACTATTTGTTGTTTTATTATAATAAGTTGATAGTTTTATTTAAATGAAATTAGTGATAAGTAGTTCTGATAATAATTTTAGGTATTTTAATGAATTTAAATCGTGTTAAACTGCGTTTTTTGGATTATTCGATCGCGTCGTTATTTAACTTCGTTTTTTCGCACGTCTTGCTCATTCGCTTCTCTCGATCTTAATGCTCGTTCAATACTTCTTTTTTCTTCCTGAATACTTTTTTGATATCTCCTCATTAGAGATGGGTTGGGCTGAACGGAGCTGCCAGACCCATTCCCACAACTCGGCCATCCTTCCTAAACATTCGTCCCGAATGTATCGTCGTCGTCCTCGGAGGATATTTTAATCCATGGCTTCATATATTCGGCGCAAGAGGTAGTGCATCTTGGCCCGTCAGAAGATAGAGATTCTTTCACAACATCGTAAGTGTCTTTAGGCTTGACTTTTGTAACTCGATAAGGACCCAAATACTTCGGTTTTAACTTAAGCCCTCCACCAAGTTGAGTGCGTTTGATAGCGACAATATCACCGACTTTGTAAGTTGCTGCTGGTCTACGTCTGAGATTATACGTGTGTTTGTTCTCGTTTTGCATGACAAGGATATGTGGCTTGGCAGCTTTACGGATCTCGTCTCGATTGTCCTGGAACATTTGGATTAGTTCTTGCTCAATCATTGCCTTCAGCTTGATGTCAGCTTTAGTGCGCATCTTGATACCTACAAGAAGCTCGAATGGAGTTGTATGTGTACTCCTGCTGTACGTCGAATTGATTGTCTGCTGAAAGTGGCTTCCAAACTTGTACCACTTGCTGGGGTCATCTATGGACAGTTTGGACAACACGGAAACAATTGTGGCGTTAAGGCGTTCAACCTGCCCATTTGCTCTTGGAACTCCTGTAGTAACTGCATGTAGTGCAATACCCTCGTTCTCACAATAGTTTCTGAAGTCGTCTGAAGTAAAAGCTGTGCCTCGATCGGATATTATTTGAACAGGATTGCCAAATATTGCGCTCTGAGCCTCCAGTCTGGTGATGACGTCCTTGGAAGATGTTGTTTTTGTGGGATACAGCCAACAAAATTTGGTGAATCCGTCAATGACAGCAAGAATGTGTTTGTATGCCTTGTGAGTCGATTCGAGAGGCCCCAAAAAATCGATGTGAAATGTTTGAAGCGGCTCCGC